AGTAATAGTAATACTAAGCAACAGTATACTGAGTAATACTAAGCAATAGTATACTAAGTAATAGTAATACTAAGCAACAGTATACTAAGGAATAGTAATACTAAGCAACAGTATACTAAGGAATAATAATACTAAGCAACAGTATACTGAGTAATAGTAATAGTAAGCTTAGTATTCATGGCAAGTTGGAAATGTCCAGGGTCCCTGGGATTTGTGTGCTTACTGACTGATAGGCACAGAAACTATTTTGAGGTTAGACTGGAGAACTGTCTTTAGGGTTCCTTTTCCTACGTTGTTTTTAAAAGTAACTAAGTCTTTCCTTAAGTGCCAAACGGTTGGTGTGTGGAGCGTGTGGTGGGGGTGCCTGAGCTCTGTCCACTACGCTGTCAGCACCTTCAGAAGTCATCTCATTCTTACTTAGATTTATGGGACAGAAAGGGACTGGCCACCATGTGTTCTAAAGGAGGAAGCAGACTTTCCTGTGCTCACTGAGGTCACTTGCTCTCATTTTTTTTAGGCCTTATGATGGGAAGTGGAGTAAAACAATGGTGGGATTTGGGCCTGAGGATGATCACTTTGTTGCAGAGTTGACATACAATTATGGCATCGGAGACTACAAGCTTGGCAACGACTTCATGGTAAGTATCCCTCTGTCCCAGTGCATATCTGGATGAGACGGAGACATAATAGTCCAGGCTAGAAAAACAAAAGATTGTATGTGTATGAATGTTCTTCCTATATGTATGTGTGTGCACCATCTGTATGCAGTATCTGAAGAGATCAGGAGAGGTGTCAGATCCCCTTGAACTGGAGTTAGGGATGGTTGTGAGCTGCCCATGCGGGTCCTCTGCAAGAACATCTAGTACTTTTAACTACTGAGCCATTTCTCCAGTCCAAGATGGCTTTTTAAAATTTGAAGTTGAAAATAGTTGTTAGTGAGAAGGTGACAATGGAGCAAGAGCTCAGAGGAGGGAAGGGAGTGTGCCATGTGGATAGAGGAGGACTCTAGGTGGAGGGTAGAGCCTGTGTGCAGGCCCAAACCCTGGCTTGAGAGTCATAAGGAGTAACCAACTAGAGAGGAGAGGGGGAGGTGGTAGGAGAGGGTAAGAAGGGACATGATAGCTGGCTATGGTGGCACATGACCGTAATCCCAGCATTTAGAAGACCGAGGCAGGATTATGAGTTTTTGAGCCCAACCAGGACTACATATTTAAGACTCTGTCTCAAAGGGGAAAAATGTGCATAGTGCTGGGCCTTTAAGAACCATCAAGGGAAAACAAAGCCTGTGGGCTACTTGAGAACAAGCTATAGGGTGCCTTTTTGAAACATTTACTCTGGCTACAAAGTAGATGATAGGTTGGGGGAACAGAGACATTGCAGTAGTCCAGGCTGAACAAGGCTGGCTGTCCCAGAGGACAGAATTATATACTATTGGCAATTTTGTTTAAAGAGTGCCTTAAAATCCAAAACTGGACTGTGGATATAACTCTACCATTAAGCAAAGATTCAGGTTCAAGGTCAGCCTCATAAATGAATAACTAAATTCAAATTGTCTCAAATGGAGAGCTGACCCTCAGTCCATGTAAGATCAAGATTTTTCTGCTTTTGTCTTGAAAATTGAAGAGATTTTCTTTGGTATTAAATGGATTAAATATCACAGATATTTTAAAAGGTTTGTTTATTTATTTATGTATATGAGTACATTGTTGATGTCTTCAGCCACACCAGAAGAAGGCATCAGATCCCATTACAGATGGTTGTGAGCCATCATGTGGTTGCTGGGAATTAAACTCAGGACCTCTGGAAGAGCAGTCAGTGCTCTTTACCGCTGAGCCATCTCTCCAGCCTGATATTTTAATTTCTTTTTTTTTTTTTTTTTTTTTTTTTTTTGGTTTTTCAAGACAGGGTTTCTCTGTGTAGTCCTGGCTGTCCTGGAACTCACTCTGTAGACCAGGCTGGCCTCAAACTCAGAAATCTGCCTGCCTCTGCCTCCCAAGTGCTGGGATTAAAGGCGTGCGCCACCACTGCCAGCTGATATTTTAATTTCTTTTTTTTTTTAAAGATTTATTTATTTATTTATTATATGTAAGTACACTGTCGCTGTCTTCAGACACCCATATGAGGGCATCAGATCTCATTGCAGATGGTTGTGAGACACCATGTGGTTGCTGGGATTTGAACTCATGACCTCTAGAAGAGCAGTCAGTGCTCTTAACCGCTGAGCCATCTCACCAGCCCCGATATTTTAATTTCTTTGCTGTGATTTATAAATGTCTGCATCTGGAGAATTTGGAGAAAATACCTAAAACTCTCTTTTGAATTACTATAAGAAAATGCCAATTAAATCTTAGGCTCTGGGGTTATGGTTCCTTACTTTGTCCTGCAAAGCTCTGTTGTAATATGTGTGGATGTTATTTGTCACAGGGAATCACGCTTGCTTCCAGCCAGGCTGTCAGCAATGCCAGGAAGCTGGAGTGGCCACTCAGTAAAGTTGCAGAAGGGGTTTTTGAAACTGAGGCCCCAGGAGGATATAAGTTCTACTTACAGGATAGAAGTCCATCTCAGTCAGGTAATTACATTAGGCCAGGCAAAGCCTGTTTAAAGCCACATTTGATGAAGATGGGATGGGGAGGGTGCTGGGGTGAAGCTCTTTCTGTACTGTAGTTTTTCTACATTGACAGGATGTATCTTTCCCAAGCCAGTGTTCTTGCCTGTATTCTAGGTATTCCCTTTTACATACATTAGGTATATGTTGTATATTAGTACCTAGCTGCAGAGAGTCTACATTGGTTCTGTTCTACATCTTTTTAGGAAGTTTTTTTAGCAGCAAATAACAGCAAACCTAACTTAAACCAGTTTTAATACCAAGAGCATGTTTCAAGTTCACAGGGCAGGTAGGAAGATTGAAGGTTAGTTGGTTCATCTGCTTAGCCATGTGGCCCCAGGTTTTCTCTTTGTGTTGGTCCTCTCATGCAGTTAGAGCTAGTTCCCACACTGTGCTCTATGCTCCCATATACACTTTGGGAAGGAGCCTGCAAACAGACTTTAAAGAGCAGAACAAATCTCTGGAATCTACCACGTCACTCTCTGGCCAGATTTAATACACTCTGCCTAATACAGGGTGAATACCCTATTCTGGAATTCCAAAATAGCAGATTAAATTTTGTTTTGTTTTTTAAGACTGTGTCTTAGGGCTGAGTGTCATGACACAGGCCTTTACTCCCAGCACTTGGGAGGCAGAGGCAAGCAGATCTCTCAGTTCTGGGATAGCCAGGGCGACACAGAGAAACCCTATCTCAAAAACAAACAAACAAACAAACAAAACCAAAAAAACTAACTTGTGTTAACACTTAGTATAGGCTAACCAGGAACTCGAGGATTGTACCAGCTCAGCCCCCAGAAGGCTGCACTTGCAGGCCTGTAACCGTGCTCTGTAAGCCTGAGATTCTAGTGTTTGGATTTTCAGATTAGGGATCCTCAGCCAGTAAAGTATAAGCAGGTTTTCCAAACTGAGCTACTTGTGGTCCCAAGCATTTCAATAAGAGGTACTCAGCCTGGACTTAAAATAGTGGCAAGTTCCACATTCCTAAGGTGCTTTTGTCCTTTGCCATGCTAAGATTTCTGAAGCTTTAATTTCCTGCTCGGTCTGATTTGGACTGCACCTGTGACTATCCTGCAGGCCTTCTGGCTCTGGGGAGAGTGTCTGTGCTGTTTGCTCAATTCTAGGGAGTAAAATTAAGGTCTGTTCTGTCCCTGAGCTCAGGTTCTCGGTGGACTTGGCTTTGATGATTTTGCAGTCAGTGGAGGACAGTAAACTTGAGTTTCCCAGGAGGAGGTCCTGTGAGAAGCACCGTGGTTAGTCTTGGCATTGCTATCCTGCCGATGGGATGGAGGTGATAGAAACTGAGGGAAAGCCCTGAGTTTGTCATAGTCAGGTGAGTCAGATGTAGTTGTACAACAGCTCTTTACAAAGTTACCTTGGCCACACCCAATGGCACAGACCTATAATCCCAGCTAGTAGGAGGGTTTATAGGCTAAGGCAAGAAGGCCTACTTGGACTGAAGAGCAGGCCCTAACTTCTGGAGAGCCAGTCTCAAAAGTAAAAGTAAGCAAAAACAGGTTCGGTGACGGAATGCTTGCCTAGTGTGTGAGGTCCTAGGTAAAGTTTCTGTGTTGCAGTAAATAAAAAAGGAAGAGGAAGGAAGAAGGAAAAGTGCTTCACAGGGCTGGGGCTACCACTTAGTGACAGAGTACTTGTCTAATGTGCAAGGGCCTGAGTTGAGCCTCTGGCACTGGAAGGGGTGGGGGTTGCAGATGTCAGAAAATCACTTACAATATAGTGTGTTTCCATTATATTTTAGCTGCTTTTAGTTGTTTTTTTGTTTTGTTTATGTTTTTGTTTTTCAAGACAAGGTTTCTCTGTATAGCCCTGGCTATCCTGGAACTCCCTCTGTAGACCTGCTAGCCTTGAACTTGGAGATCTGCTTGCCTCTGCTTCCCAAGCACTGGAATTAAAGGCATGCACCACCACCACCTGGCTTTTAATTTTTTTTAAAATTACATTTATTTATGTCTGTCTAGATTTTTTTTAACCCTAGAAAAAAATAATTTTTTTTTTATGTATTGCATATACAAAAGGAAGCGGGGCAGGGGAGGGAGAGGGTAATGAGGGGAGGAAAGTAGTACCCATGTGTCCAGGGATAACTACTATGAGCATCCCAGAGTCTGTGTTCGAGATCTTTTATAGAAAACAATACATACACATATATATATAAAGTGTACGCTGCATAAGCCATTGCAGGAATTCCATGGCAGCGTTTCTCTGCAGAAGATAAGCAGCCTCTGTTGTTGGGTGTTTTTGTTGTTCCTAGTGTTTCATTGTTCTGGGCAACAGTGGGAATGGCCTTTGTGGGGGGAAAAAAAAAGCCCTTCACATAGACACAGTTGCTTTCTGAACTGCTGAGAGTGGACTTGCTTTTTCAGTACATTTTTAAAACTTTTGGTACATTCTGTCAAATCTGTGCCCACAAACTTTCTAACTTACATTGTATCATTTTAATTTCTTTCCCTGCAATAAAACAGTTAACACTGATAGTTTGTCAATACAATAAAAATTAAATAGTGGAAAACATTTTTTCTATTTTTACTTATTTTCTTAGTTTATTCTTTAAATTTTATACTTTAACCCCTCAGAAATACATTGTGCTGTTTAATTCAAACATGTAGGTTTTCCTACCAAATGATTATCTTGCTGTCATTTATTTGGCTCGTGTTTCATTTCATGTTGGTTTAAAATGCTTTCCTTATAAACTAAATGTTTTGGATAAGAAGAGAGTTGCTGAAAATCAAATGGAAGCCTTGGATGATAGGCACACACTCCCCCTTTAGCCTTCTAAGCTAAATTCTTTTTTTTTTTTTTTTTTTTGGTTTTTTGAGACAGGGTTTCTCTGTATAGCCTGGGCTGTCCTGGAACTCACTCTGTAGACCAGGCTGGCCTCGAACTCAGACTCAGAAATCCGCCTGCTTCTGCCTCCCAAGTGCTGGGGATTAAAGGCGTGCGCCACCACCGCCCGGCCCTAAGCTAAATTCTTTTTTTTTTTTTTTTTTAAAGATTTATTTATTTATTTTATTTATGAGTACACTGTAGCTGTCTTCAGACACACCAGAAGAGGGCATCCAATCTCATTACGGATGGTTGTGAGCCACCATGTGGTTGCTGGGATTTGAACTCAGGACCTCTGGAAGAGCAGTCAGTGCTCTTAACCGCCGAGCCATCTCTCCAGCCCCCCTAAGCTAAATTCTTAATGTACGCTCAAGCTTGTTGGGCCTTTTATCCCATTCCACTGAAGCACTTCACACATTTGTTTTCCTACCCTCAGATCCTGTATTAAAGGTGACTCTAGCAGTGTCGGATCTCCAGAAATCCTTGAACTACTGGTCTAATCTCCTGGGAATGAAAATTTATGAACAAGATGAGGAAAAGCAACGAGTGTTGCTGGGCTACGCTGATAACCAGGTGAGTGACTTGCAAAGGAGCAGCTTGTCTGCTCTTTTGTGTTTGGTGCATAAATTGGGTAAACATGAAAGTGGTCCCATGGTTCCTTCACAGTGATTGAGTTTCTAGATGAATAGAAGGAAAGAAACTCACAAATAACCTTTACTACTCAGATACTTCCTTGGTTTTTGTTCGTGATTAGCTGACCTGTAAGCCTTGGAGTTTCTCCTGACTGCCTCCTGTCACACTGTAGGAGTGGTACCACATCCAGCTTTATGTGGGTACTGGGGATCTGTACTAAGGTCTTCACACTTGCATGGCAAGCACCTTACCAAACATTAGAGTTTTGCACTACACACTTGTATAACCTGTCAGAAAGCATCAGCTCACTCTCTTATTTCTTTTCAGTGTAAACTGGAGCTACAGGGCATCCAGGGTGCAGTTGACCATGCAGCAGCCTTTGGGAGAATCGCCTTTTCTTGTCCTCAGAAGGAGGTACTGTTTGATTACCTAATTGTTTGTTTTTAAAATTCATTATTTTTAATTATGTGTATGTATATCTCTATGTGCCAGTGCAGGTACCTGTGGGGACAGTCAGGCCCCTCAGAATTGAACTTACAGGCAGTTGTGAGCCCCTGAAGTGAAGTGGGTGCAAGGAACCAAACTTGAAGAGCCATCTTTCTAGCATTATATGAATAAACATGAATGCAGGTGTCCGCACTGGCCTCCCAGGGGCTGGAGTTACCAGCATTTATAAACTCCCTGGCATGGTTGCTGGGAACTGAACTTTCGTCCCCTTTGAGAGTAGGACTTGCTCTTAGTTGCTGAGTCCTCTCTTCAACCCCTAATTGGTTAAGTTCTGTTCACGATCTGGTTTCAACCTAGCTAAGAACTTTGGACTTCCTGTGAGATCATTCTGCTTGTGGCTTTGTTTCATGCTTATCCATTCTTTTAAGAACCACTGATAGTAAAATCCATCCAGTGGTGCCTTAGTCAAATGAGGTCGGTTCCAGAAAGTACTGTGTGAGCCTTGCTCACTTGCCCTTTTGTGTTTTTCAAGTTGCCAGACTTAGAAGACTTGATGAAAAGGGAGAGCCAATCGATCCTGACCCCGTTGGTGAGTCTGGACACCCCAGGGAAAGCGACAGTGCAAGTGGTCATCCTGGCTGACCCTGTAAGTATTGCTTAGCAAGGGGACAGGCTATCCCTCCCAAGGATTTCTTCAAAGATTTTTTTTTTCACATTGCTTTTCTCTTTTATGATGTAGGATGGACATGAAATTTGCTTTGTTGGGGATGAAGCTTTTCGAGAGCTCTCTAAGATGGATCCAAAAGGAAGCAAATTATTGGATGATGTAAGTCTTGTTTCTACATCGATGTCATTATAGAGCAAAGCAGGATGGTATGAAGGACATGTAGGGTCTAGGTGTCAAGCGTGTCCTTTCTCTGTTGTGATGACTTTTATTCAGAGACAATGTCTTCAATTACACCTACCTTACCCCTTACAGTACTTAGCATCTCCATCTTCCCACTGCCTCAGGCTAACCAACCATTCTTCCCAGCAGTGGATGAAAGTGCCTAAGCTCCACCCCTTTTATTTCCTTGGCTGCTTGGTTACCTGACACCCCATCTGACACCACTCTCTTCCTTCCTACTTGTTCTCACTATCATACTAAGAGGTCCTGGAGCTCTCATCTTTTAAAACTTTTCTTGGGAGACAGAGGGAGGGGATCTCTGAACTCAAGGCCAGCTGGTCCACATAGCAAGTTCTAAGCCAACCAAGGTTATATAGTGAGACTTTGTCTCATAAAAACAGAAAATACTGGCTACAAACATGGCTTAGTGATTAAGAGAGCTTACTGCTCTTACAGAGGACACAGGTTTAGTTCCCAGCACTCATGTAAGGGTTCAGTACTGCTTATGACTCCAGTTTCAAGGAATCTGACCCCCTCTTCTGACCCCCAAGTGCTCCTGCATGCAGTTGATGAACACACATTCACTCAGGCACACAAAACACAAAAACAACCCCTTTTGATGCCATAGTCCATCTCCAGATATTTGTTTGTTTGTTTGTTTTTTTGAGTTTGAGATATGAGTCTGTGTCTCCAAACTGACTACAAATTAGTGATCCTCCTGCCTCATCCTCCCAAGGCTTAGGACTATATCACCAGGTTTCTTTAATTAGATTTCTGCTTTAAAGATCCATTTGCACATAGTTTCCATTTCTTGTCTGAATGCATACTTCATCTCTCTGTACTAGATCGTGGCAGCAAATAGTGTTTATGTTGACATTCCTGGTGGTGATCTCATCTTGCCAAGTGCAGCAGCTTCTGTTCTCACCACACTTGATTTTCATCAGGAAAACAGTAGCCCATTGTTGGACTCTAGTTTCTAACCTAGACCCAGCATGAAGTAGACATTCTCTGAATACTTTAGACTTTCCAGACAGGGACTCAGTTGTCTAGATTGACCTTGAGATCCTGGGCTCAAAGGACCTTCCTGCTTCAGCCTTCCATGTAGATAGGACGGTAGGCCTGACTACTGAGCCTCCCTCACTTCTGTGTACCTAATTGAGTGATTAAAGAAATTAGTTTATCCCAGTTCTACACTTTTATGATCTGTATAACTGGCATTTAAGCAATTTGTTAAAATTCTCTGAACTTTTAAAAGTCCCTTTAGAACTTTATCTAAAAAGGTGAGAAAATAAAAATATTGGGATCATGATGTGCTTTATGGAAGATAGTATGGTAGACAGTCATATTATTTCGAATTAAAGGAAATATGTAGAAGATGCCTTTTAAAGCTTTATCGTGCAGGGAAATAGACTGTTGAGACGAGCTCTCGTTAGCAAACGTGCTGTGCTTGCTTTGTTCTTTCATGCGCTGGCAGCCCCTCCCTCCCTGTGGCATTGACACATAGCTCCTGACACTTCTTCCAGGCAACCACTTTTCAGATTTCTGGTCCAGTAGATCTATCTAGTTTGTTTATTCTTGGTTTTTAAACAAATGAATCCATTTAATAGGTATTTTACTATTATTGATTTCTTTCTCTCAAAATATTTTGAGATTCCACCATGTAATTGCATGTATCATATTTTGTGTTGCTTTTATTAGATAACAATTTGTTTATCCATTCCCATGGTAGTGAACATTTTGTAGATTTTTATCTACTTAAGGAAGAATGCTGGTAGCATCGATGTTTAAATTTTCTTCCAGCTACATGTTTCATTTCTCTAAGACCCATACCCAGGTGAATTGCTTTACTGTACAGGAAAGTGCAGACAGCTGACAAGAATAAATGTACCAGAGTGAGTCTTCCTTAGCCAGTTTCTCTTTCCGTAGTTTGTTATGTGCATTTCTGAAAGTATTAAATGTAAACTTGAGAAACGAATAAGTCATGCATGTTAGACAGTGCTCTGCTCTGAGTAGCATGTGAAATCTCTTGGTGTCTTGTTCAGTCCACTTATGGCAGGAATCATCTCTGGGCAGTATATCACACTGTGTATACCACACTGTGTATACCACACTGTGTATACCACACTGTGTATACCACACTGTGTATATCACACTGTGTATATCACACTGTGTATATCACACTGTGTACACAGCTGGATACACAGCTCCCTTAGTCACTTAGTAGCTATCTTATTACTAGATTAACTCTTAGTTCAAAACCTTTATTTTACTTAATAATGGCTCAAAAGGGCAAACATAGCAGTTTGGTTATGTCAAAGAATAGCTGTGGGCTGGCAAGATGGCTCTGTGGGTAAAGGTGGGTAAAGGCTACCAAGCCTGACAAACCTGAGTTCAGTCCCTGAGACCCATGTAATGGAAAGAGAATGGACTCCTGGAAACTCTCCTCTCGTCTATCCCTGCACAGCAGCATGTGTGCACCTACACATACTATACTCGATTAATGAATAAGTGTAATGAACTAAAGGGTAGCCGGGTTGTGGTGGTGGCGCACGCCTTTAATCTCAGCACTTGGGAGGCAGAGGCAGGCGAATTTCTGAGTTCGAGGCTAGCCTGGTCTACAGAGTGAGTTCCAGGACAGCCAGGACTACACAGAGAAACCCTGTCTCAAAAAACAAAACAAAATAAAACAAAAAAAAGAACTAAAAGGTAGATGCAAAAGTACATCTCTTAGGTAAAAAAGTGAAAGTTTTGGGTTTTTTTTTTTATTTTTATTTATTTTTGGTTTTTCGAGACTAGGTTTCTCTGTGTAGCCCTGGCTGTCCTGGAACTCACTCTGTAGACCAGGCTAGCCTCGAACTCAGAAATCCACCTGCCTCTGCCTCCCAAGTACTGGGATTAAAGGCGTGTGCCACCACCGCCCTGCAAGTTTTAGGTTTAATAAACCAGAGAAACTGGAGTATAGTCACATTACTCTGGACAACTTTTTATTTTCATGTAGAGTAAATGCTAGGTCGGTAAGATCAAACATAAGAACAACTCTAAAGAAGGAAAACTATATCCTGGTTTAGTGTTGTACCTCAGAACCCGGAAAAGTTATAGTTCATGTCAAATCCTTAGTTAAGATTAGCAATGGGGTTGGGAGAGGGCTAGTGGACAAGCACCTGCCTAGCAGGTGTACAGCCCAGTTCAGTCCCAGGATCCCCTAAATATAAAGTTTGGGAGGTGTCAAGTTACAGGATTGATTCTATTCAAGCCTCCTTGGGAGTACTGGAAGCTCTCATTGGGGAGCAGAACTACAGAAGCCAAAAGCAAGGTTAATACATTTAGAGACTTTCCTATAACTATGGACCTTGATGGATTTGGTCTTTGTTTTAGTTTTGGCAGATGGTGCTGCCTATGTGCTGAGTTTTACAACCTGAGCAGTAGTTCCACCATGGAGTCAGTTGTGCTAAGATCTGGGGCTATGTTACACTATGTAGACCAGGGTGGTCTTGAACTCACAAAAGATCCACCTGCTTCTGCAGTGCTGGATTAAAGGTGTGTACCACCACACCTGGCATGCTTTGAAGTGTTCTTAAGTGCTATATGTATATTCTCTAACTCTAGATTCTCTAAGTCACAACTCGTAAGGAAACCCAGGCTTAAAAAAATTAAGTAATCACTCATGTGTAGCTGGTCTTTTCTTCTTTGTGGGTTCTTCTTACTTCCACCCTTCTCCACCCTTTTTCTTCCACCCTTTCAACCCCCTAAATCATGATGAGAGAAAAAAGGGTAGAAAGGAAAGAGATCCCTGAATAAAGTTAGGTCAGAAAGGGAAGTTAGACTACTTCCTGATGATTAGGGACATCAAGATCCTTGGGGCAAGTTTTTGATCTTTGCTGTCAGAGTATCTAATTTCTTCTTGCTTCTTGTTTGCACACAACTACTTAACAAACTGCAACCAACAACAACCAAACAATAATCCCCCAATTTCTTAGGGCCCTAGCATTTATATACCCTCTGAAAAGTCCCCAAAATTCCAAATGTCACAAAAATCACAGAAACTATCTGCAGCTGGCAAAACTACGCCTCTGCTAGAACACAAGGCAAAGTCATAGCCAGCTGCTGTGAAGCGGCCCCATGTCACACACCTGGGATTAAAACAAAAGCGTATTTTATAGGTTATTTCTCCTCAGTGAAATGAGCCAATTTAAGACAGATACAGGGTTGGAGAAATGGCTCAGTAGTTAAGAGCACTAGTTGCTCTTTCAGAGGACCCAGGTTCAATTTCCAGCACCTATATGGCAGCTCACAGCTGTCTGTAACTCTAGTTCCAGGGGATGCAACAGTGTCACAGACATACATGCAAATAAAACACCAATGTATATAAAATAAATAAATCATTTTTTAAAAAATAGAATACATTAAAGGCAGGTTTATTGGGCTTTTTGGAAAGCTGCTCTCAGGTGAGTTCACAGACCCCAGGACTGGGGCCAGGGAAGTCACCATGGGGAGAGAATGGGGGGAGGGGGAAGAGAAAGAAACAAAGGGCTTCAATGTGCAGAGAGAGAGAGAAGGAAAGAAGGGGACACAGCAGTGGGGCGGGCAGAAGGGCCCCCGCGCCGGGCGAGAGAGAGAGAGAGGAGAAGAGACGAGACGAGATCAAAATGTCCAGATTATATAGGGAGGAGCCTCTGGAGGGAGGGTAACCCAGCCCTGGGCTGGAAAGTTCAGGGTCAGTGGCGGGGCTGGTATGCCAGGTAGGAACTGAGGGATGCTGGGAGAACCTGGAGGCCAGGTCTGCTTTGATATGTAAAATATGCACCTTAGTCCCTTGTCCTAGAGTCTGAAACCAAAAAATATTCTTATGATCTGTGTTTTTTGTTAAAGAACCCAAAATTCTACACTTCTCACTATACTCATGGTATCAAGCATTTAATAAATGGGAGACAGACACTGGGATGGAGGTCTTCGAGGATGCTAGAATTAATTCTTTTCCTTCCTCTGTACTCTGGTCCTTCCTGTGGGCAAAAGATTTCTTGCTGGGTGTAATTCTAACACTTGGGAGGCAGAGACTGGAGGATCTCTGTGAATTTGAAGCCAGCCTGGTCTACATAGCAAGTTCCAAAACAGCTAGAGCTACATAGAGAGATCCTTCTTCAAAAACAATAGAAGGAAGGAAGGAAGGAAGGAAGGAAGGAAGGAAGGAAGGAAGGAAGGAAGGAAGGAAGGAAGGAAGGAAGACAATGTTATCTCCTAATGCGCCTGTTGTTCCAGCCAGATTCCTCAGAGCTGTTCTTTGATTTGCACTGAACCCACCTTTAACTTTACAGTTCTATTTTTTAAAAGATTATTACATTTTATTTATTCACTGCACGTGCAAGGCATGGCATGTCGGTAGAAGTCAGAGACAGCTTGTGGGAGTCAGTTCTCTCCTTCTACCATGTGAGTCCAGGGGATCAAACTCAGGTTGCCCATTTGGCTGCAAGTGCCTTTACCTGCTGAGTCATCTTGTCAAGCCTAGGATAGTTTTAGATTTATAGACACATGCACTTTAACATGTTTTTTTTTTTCTCTCATTTATTTTGATTTTCTTTTAAATTCTATTAGCCATTATTCACCAAAAGCTGAATTCTACTTCTGAGATATCTCTGGTCTTTGAACACCACTTTTGAAATCTAGTGAGTTTTAAACTAATCTCCTAGCTTTAATGACTCCCAGATACATTCTTCACTGACTAAGCTTGCTGTGTGTCTGCTGGCCCTTATCTACTCTCTGGCCTGTTGTTATCTCTGGAAAACCTCTACTCCAGCCCTATTCTGATCTCACTACACTGCTTATAACAACAAAAACACAACTTCTTCTCTCCAACCAAAGTGTTTTTTTCTTTCTCTTCTTCTTAAGCTGGTTCTTCAAAACAAAGAGGTTTTCTTGGGTCCTCCAACCGGAGTTAATTGTTCTTTTCTCCATTCTTTATGATCTTACTCAGTTCTTGGGAGCTGGTTCTTAATATTGCTTTAAGGTTTAAGTTCTTTGTATTTTCATTAGCATAGTAAATCAGGTAGCCCCAAAAGTTATTACTTATTTAGGCAAAGATTTATGAGGTAACCTAGGCTGTTCTGGAACTGACAAATTTCCTGTTCTTCTCATTGAATGCTGGTATTGCATGTGTCCACTACCAGGCTGGCTAGGTCTAAGATGGCATATAACTGAAACATAGCCATGTCTTGTCCCATTTCTGAAGCCCACTGCCCAGGACTTCCACCTTCACTATTGCTTAATCAAATTATTATATTTTTCTGTTATGTTTTCTAAGGTAAACGTTATCTTGTGATTTCCTCCTGGTGTAGATGAGTATGTCTTACTCCAAATATTTAGTTGTTCCTTACTTTTTAATCTGGTACAACTTTATGAGAGTTTTTTTTTTTTATTTGTTTGTTTGTTTGTTTGGTTGGTTTTTGGATTTTTCAAGACAGGTTTCTTCGTGTATCCTTGGCTGTCTTGGAACTCACTTTGTAGACTAGGGTGGCCTCGAACTCCCAGAATGTCTGCCTCTGCCTCCCCAGTGCTGGGATTAAAGGCAGGCACAGCCTTTTGTAGGTCTTTTACACTAAATACCTCATGATGAACGTGCTGTCTTATGAACAGTTATTTCCTGTTTGAGTCCTCAGCTGTTCAGTGGAATCTCCAAAGCCCAGACTGTCACTCCTGTCATACTAAACCCAGGATAGTACCCAGTGCATGATAAAAACTCAATTTAAAACAAAGATTTGTTTGTATTTCTATATCTTTGTGTGGTATTACTATATGGCATGTATGTAGGTGATTTGTGGTGCAGGAGAGGGTGTTAATTCCCCTAGAGTTATAGTCATGGGCATCTGTGAGGCTAGGATGATGGTACCCCACCTTGGGCCCAAAGCAAGAGCAGTACATTCGAGAAACTGCTGAGCCACCTCTCCAGCCCCAAAACCTCACTTTAAAAAAAAAAGTATCTCTATATCTTCTTATTGGCTGAATAAAAGTTTTTCATTGCCAAATAGCTAAATGATTTGTAGGGACAAATGTTTTGGTTTTGGTTTTTCAAGACTTGGTTTTTCTGTGTATCTCTGACTGTCCTGGAATTTGCTATGTAGATCAGGCTGGCCTACGACTCAGAGATCTGCCTACTCCTGCCTCCTGCGTGCTGGGAATAAAGTGTTTGCCTGGCTGTTTCAAACACTATTTTTGGTGGTGGTACTGGGATAAAGGTAAGTACTCCACCACTGAGCAACATTCATTTTGTTTGGTCTCAGACTAAGCTCATAAGCACTCAAGGTTCCTGTTCTGCCAAGGACTCTGTAGTTACACAGTCCCTAGTCTTTCATCAACAGCCAGGCTCTCTTGCCAGCTATAATGTGCAAATCACCAAGCAACTGCTTGGTACTCACCAACTCTCCTGTTAGTGAACAGTGTTCTCTACACAGATGAAGTGCTTTAGTGTTAATGCATGGTGGAGAATGCAGACTTGGAGTAACATCTGTCCATCTGTTTCCATAGGCAATGGCAGCAGACAAAAGTGATGAGTGGTTTGCTACGAGAAATAAACCAAAAGCTTCCAGTTAATGGAATGCACATGAACAGCACTTATAACTCCAGTCTAGTCTGGTATCTGTTTGGAGAAATGCTCCCACCGCCTGGTTGTGTCCTGTGTAGGGGTCTGTGTGGTACTCACTCTTCAAAGCTCTGTTTTTAGAAATGAAATGTTTTTATCACTCTTGGTAGAGGCAAATTCCTACTGTGTGTAATTGTATTAAATTTGGTAACAAATTTATTGTCCAGACTGAGACAACTATATGGAACATTACTCTTGGTTGGGGCTGGAGGAAAATTTGATTATCTGTTAATCATATAGATACTATTGAAACCAGTGTCAAAATGAAACCAAATCTGCTAGGCATGGGGGCACACACCTTTAATCTCAGCACTTGAGATGCAGAGACAGGAGGATCTCTGAGTTGGAGGCCATTCAGGACTATAGAGACCCTGTCGCAAACAAAACAAAAGCCAAATCTACTGCTTAGAGTGCTCATTTCCAGGACCTTATGGTAAGATACTGTTCTAATTACTGTTCTGTTAGCACAGAAGGTCTTGACATTTAAAGAAACTTTTTTTCCTTTGGCTTTCTGAGACAGTCTCACCTGATAGCTCTGGGTAACCTGTCACTTCACCATGTAACTCAAGATAGCTTTTAACATTTTTTTCCTCTTAAGACAGAGTCTTACTCTGTAGCCCTGGCTGGTCTGGAACTCTGTCAGCTAGATTGGCCTCAAACTCAGAGACCCACCTCCCTCTGCCTCTTGCTGGGATCAAATGCACCGGCTATCATACCTAGTGGGTTTGAACTTTTTTGCTCTTCCTGCTTCAGCCTCCAGTGCTAGGATTATAGATGTGTGCCACTATTCCAGGTGTGGTTTGAACATGGTTGGCCCATGGGAAGTGGCACTATTGGAGGTGTGGCCTTATTGGAAGAGGTGTAGCCTTGTTAGAGGAAGTGTGTCAATGTGGAGGCGGGGCTTTGAGATCTCTGATATATGTTCAAGTCTGGACAGTGTGGCAGTCTCCTCCTGGAGACTTTTGGATTAAGATGTAGAACTTTTGGCTCCTTCAGCACCAAGTCCGCCTGCATAATGCCATGTTTCCAACCATAATGATAATGGACTGACCTTCTGAAACTGTAAGCTAGGCTCAATTAAATGTTTGCCATTTTAACAGTTGCTGTGGTCATGGTGTCTCTTCCCAGCAGTAGAACCCCTAATTCAGACACCAGGCTTGTTTTTTTTTCTTCGAAGAATTTTTTTTGACCATGTATGGACAGAATCCAGCTCCTAGCAGGCACGTCATCACTCCTCGCCGAAACTCTGTAAAACCCCCTTGCTTAGCCGGGATGTGTGGCTTTACTGATCCCTACCGATGAGATCAGTGACCCAACCCAAAAGCTGCCTCCTAATGAACCTGCCTTTATCTACCTCGTGGTGAATAGGCAAACTGCTTTGAGCTCACTTCTGGCAGGTGATCAAGCCTTCAGCCACCTGCCAGAGATTTCTAGATTCGTGAATGAAAGACATACAAACAGAGCAGCTTAATTTTTAATATGCCTAACTTGCTCAATGGCTGGGCACTTCCAAACTTCCCCTCCAGCATTCCTGAGCTAACACCCTCTAACTCTAAATCAGTATTCTATCTTTGCCGCCCTGTTACCTTCTGGACAGCCTCCAATGGGGTGGCTTTCCCTTTATACCTACATTGCTGGATGATTTCTCTCCAGCAGCTCTTAAATCTGATCTCTCCACTTCCACGTCCCTGCCCAGCCATTGGCTGTAGGGAAGTCTTTATTACCAATGAAAGTCAGCTGGGGGCAGGGACCTGGAAGCAAGGCTTTTGGGAGATGAATTAAGACAAAGCATTAGAACCAATTCCCAACAATCTACTTTTAATCTGGTCTAGTCTGGTCTCTATCTGCATCATTGAGGGAGAGAAAATACCCATCATAGGGCTCACAAAAAGCTGTGTAGGTAAAGATGCTTTCCAGGAAAGCCTAGCAACCCGAGTTTGATCCTGTGAACCCATATGAAGGTTGAAAGACAGAACTGCGGGACAGTGGTGGTGCACGCCAGCACTGGGAGGCAGAGACAGGCAGATTTCTGAGTTCGAGGCCAGCCTGGTCTACAGAGTGAGTTCTGGGACAGCCAGGACTGAACAGAGAAACCCTGTCTTGAAAAAACAACAAAAAAAAAAGAAAGTCAGAACCAACTCCGAATTGCTCTGACCTTCACATGCACACTTGGCACCCTTACTCCCCACCACATACATAGTGCACACACAATAATAAAAAAAATTTAATGATTAAAAATATACTTCATAGCCATCATGGTGGCTCATAGTTTGTTTTGTTTTGTTTTTGGTTTTTGGTTTTGGTTTTTTGAGCGAGACAGGGTTTCTCTGTGTAGCCCTGGCTGTCCTGGAACTCACTCTGTAGACCAGGCTGGCCTCAAACTCAGAAATCCGCCTGCCTCTGCCTCCCAAGTGCTGGGATTAAAGGCGTGCACCACCAACTGCCCGGCCATGGCTCATACTTTAAATGCAGCACTTAGGAGGAAGAATTAGATGGATCTCTGATGGCCAGCCTGGTTTATACAGTGAATTCCCCATCAGCCAAACCCTATTCATAAAGCAGAATATAGCCCTACCCCAAAATTGCCTATAAAAATTTGCTGTTATATGAACAGATTTGCTAGAGATCAAACCCTGGAGCCTCACATGTGCCAGGCAAGTGCTACTTGCCTCAGACAAGACAAATCTTGAGGAAAAGTACTGGAAAATGCCATGCTTCCGCAAAGTGAAGAATTCTACTTCATATGCCAGCTTCTGGGAACAATTTTAGCACCCTGATATCTCTGTAATGATGAACAGAGTATACAGGCACTTACATGAGCCACATGTGCATGTATGTGTGTGTGTGTGTGTGCTCACGCGTGCATGAGAGTCCATCTGCCTGTCACAAGGCCCCAAGCAGAAACTAGGTTAAAAACAGCAATCCTAAGAACATTTAGGTTGCTAAGTCTTAGAAGAGTCTTTCAGGCACTGAGATTCTGAAGCCATCTTGCTTCACTGTCCCTCAGCTGCTGTGTTGTGATGCATGAGTTACTTTACCACTGTGTCCCTCAAAGTTTGAGTTCCATCACAATCCTAACTTCTCTGGGCTGTGTTCTAGGTGAGGACTTTTCTATTTGACTTTAGCTCTTAGAGGGCAGAGCCCTTTCTCATCTGTACTGTTGGGTTCTTGGTGAGTTGACAGCCCCTGATAATACAGATCCAAGCTCCCACCCTCCAACCCTGATCATTTTAATAGCATGATTCACCCCACCTATCTGCTCTTCTGCCAAATATCCACACAGATTGTGGGACTGAGAAAACTATTAATGCCAGTCAGGCCACACAAAGCCAGATTAATGGGAGTTTCACCCAGCAGAGAGATGCTTCTCCACATCTAAATACCTCCCCAGGACCCCCTCAGAGTTTCTCTTTTGCAACAGACTCCACTCTCATGCAGTTCGAATGATTTATTGGTGTTTCTGCTAACCCTGCTACCCTTTCAGTGTGTTTCAGCCATCAGGAACTCTTAAGCCCATCCCTACCAGTGGAGCCATGCTATTTCCTTGTGTCTGCCAAAATGTTCTTAGCAAGTCTCGTTTTTCTTCAGCTCTTCCACTTTGGCAATGTAGATCCTCATGGCATCCATCTTGGACATCCCTTTGTTTACCATCCATGCCTCATATTTGGCCTTTGCTCTCACATCTGTGGCAGGAGGGACAGGGATGTTACAGTCGCCCTGGGTGGCCTGTTTGTAGAAGCTGTACACCAGCAGTTTCTCCTGATCACTCAGAGGCCCCTTCAGCTGCTTGAGTGAAGCACAGGCCATTTCAAACTCCACTTGGCTCATTGGTATACCAGAGGCGATGATGCCTCTGTGTTCTAAGTGATGCCTGGTACTAGAAGAAAGTTGGAAATAAACAAATCATGTGATTATTAGGCCTTGGAAAGAAAGGGCAAAGAGATAACATGAGGGAAGAACACAGGGCATTTGTGGGATTAATAAAGTACAAGCTGAGGACCAGGAATCCATTTGATTGCTCCTGTCCCTCAGTGCTTTCCCCAGTGTGACTGCCCTTCAAAGTTATAAAATCGCCTATGAGCTCTGAAAGTTGACTCATGTTGCCCACAGAAGATAGAACATTTGTGTGTGTCTGAGTCTGGATGGGGAGGGGATAAATGACATGGATCCGCTGCTGGTCAGTAGACAGTTGAAGTTATTCCATATGAGTAAATCGTGGGCGGGAGATACCCGGGGTTCCTGAGTGAGGGTGAGTGAGGGGTCTGGACTAAGGGATTCAACCTCCTGGCCTGAAGAGGCCAGGCTCCACATGGAGACGGCCAACGGTACCTGTGGGTAGACGGCTGGGAAGCCTAGGCCGAGAGAGGGCGCTGTGGTTAGGGCGGCTTCGACGCCGCGAGCTCGGTGGAGAGGAGTACGCGTGCGCCTTGAACGGCAGCGGGTAGCAGAATACCACACGGGAGCGGAGACGCGCTGTGGGCGGGGCCTGTGACGCGCCTGTAGCGCCGCCCTTTGTGCCGTGGCGCGGGCGCCCGGTTCGCGGCCTTGGAATAGGAGGGGCGGTCTAGCCCGCCGCCAGCGTCGCCGCCATGGACTTAGGTGGGTTCCCGCTTCCCTACTCCGGCCCCTGGGCCGCGCCCCACAAAGCGCCTCCAGTGTGGGCTGAGGCTCTGCACTGCTTCTGCGGCGCTCTCTCGAGCCTGCTCGGGAGGCTGGGGTCTTGAGGAGTTTTCGGGGACCCGTAACCGCGAGGCGGGCCTCCATCCTGCAGTCCCACCTCACGGTGGTCTCCTCGATTCCTCCTCCGTCCTTCGTAGTGTCTTCCCAGTGGGAAACCGCGAGCGAATGTAGCCTTGGTTCTCCCGGAAATGCACAGGGCTACTGCACGTGTTTCGAAAATGCTGGCCTGGGAGGGACGGACATCCGGACAGTTCTTCGTTATTGAATGACCGCCGAGTTAGTGAACATGTTTCTTATCAGGTCCTCAAATACATAAAGCAGAGATGCTGATACTGTCTTTCTCCCAGAGGCTTGGCGTTTTCTTTGCGACCACGTGCATAACAGGACCCCCTCCGCTGACTCAAGCACAGTGGTGCCCCTCAGCCCTCGCTTGTGAGCAGGGGTTGCGCAGCCGGAGATTTCACTTTTTAGTATCGTTTTAGGCGAGGTCTGGAAGGAAGGCGGAGTTGATAGAAATCTGTGGCCATCTGCCAACCCTCCCCACCCTGCTAGGTGTGCTCTTTAGAGGGTAAGACGAGGGGGCCGTCCTGGGAAGTACTCCAAGGTTTGCAAATAATACGCTGTGGCTGTGGAGAAATGTCTTTGTCCCTAGCCAGCTCTTTAGTGTGGAATGGTAGTTTCGTGACCTGCAGCTGTGAAGAGTGCTACCACGGCTTGACTGCCTAGTTGAGACGCCCTGCAAAGTTGTGTCTGGGCCTCTAGGTTCCCGTCTCTAAAACAGGAGTGATAATCCTCAAGAAGTTAGTTTGATGATTAAATGGTTTTTTTTTATAGGTGTAAAGCTGGGTGTGGTGGCCTATATCTAATTTGCACTCTGGAGGCAGAGGCAGAAGAATCTCAAGAGTTCTAGGCCAACCTGGTCTGTATAGTTTCAAGCCAGTTCCAGCTATGTAACAAGAGCCTATCTCAGAAAAAAATAAAAGTGCGCCACCAAGCCCAGTGCCTACCAAAGTAAGCAGTCACTTCCTAGCACCAGCTACTGATAAAAGCCTTTGAGTTTCCCCTAGCTATGAAGCGAGTCTGGGACTTTTTCAAGTCACATGTACACAGCGTCTGAAAGACAACGTTTGGCAGCAGATATTTTCTCAGCTAAGCTGATGTCTAATGCAATAAAATGTAATTTACAGTTATAAGGAAATGTGTCTGGGGGGCAGGCAGAACAACCTGAGCCAGAAAGAACCCTGCCGCAGCTGGGTGAGCCAAGCTGACACTATGGAAACCAGGGTGGATTGCCTTCAGGCCTGGGTATTTTTGGGGGTGTTGATCCTTGACTTGGGGTGGGCAGGCAGTGACAATAAATATTTAGTGGCCAGGAGATTCTTTAGTGGCCTGGAGTCAGTAATTTTTTTTCCCTAGGGGTAGAAGTTTGAGACAGTGTCATGATGTAGCCTTGGCTAGACTGAAACTCAGTATGTGGACCAGGCTTGCCTCATAAAAATCTGCCTCACGAGAGCTGGGACTAAAGGGATAGACCTCCACAACTGTCCACTGGTGACTCTGGCATGTGAGAGTAGAGATCTGGGAGCATAGCGGACTGAGGAAAGAGCTAGGCCCTGGGAAGGAGTAGAGATGGTCAGGAACAGTGACCGTGACAAGTTGTTGCACTCTTAGCTTCTAGGCCAGATTATACACTTTGAGAAAGACTTGTGCCCATTTGTTTCTGCACTGGAGGAGACAAAATATTGACAAGACTAGTCCTGCCAACAATTGAGCATTTAAATCAGGCTCTTGGTGGTCTGATTATTGTTAAGATAGCTTATATAGCCGGGCGGTGGTGGCGCACTCCTTTAATCCCAGCAATTGGGAGGCAGAGGCAGGCGGATTTCTGAGTTCGAGGCCAGCCTGGTCTACAGAGTGAGTTCCAGCCCAGGGCTATACAGAGAAACCCTGTCTCGAAAAAAAAAAAAAGATAGCTTATATAACCCTTCCATTCTTCTATCCCTGGGAGATGGCTTCAAAAAGGTAACAGTACCAAAACAGTTACAAAAGTGGGATTAGTGTATGTTGTGTCATGTGATTCTCACAGTTATACCATGAAGATTATAATCTCATGTATGGGAACGGGAGACTCAGTAATGTGTGTAAAGTCACATCATTTTTTTTAATGACTGAGCTAGGATTTAAATCCATTGTCTTGATTAAACCCCCATATTGCCTTCCTTTAAATGTCTGTATCAGTTCTTAGCTCAGTGAATGAATGACCGCTTTCTTGATGTAATATTTGTTGTGTCCACTTCCTGGTTCCTGCCACAGCCAGAACCTTCACTAGCTTGTCCTTTTTGACTGGAAGAAACTGCTGGGTGAACTTTTTTCCTTTAAGGAACAGAATGTTGAAACTTGTTAGCAGGAATGTGTTTAGAAAGAAGGAAGGCAAGGCTCGGGATACAGCTTAATGGTAGAGTGCTTGCCTGTTACATGCAAGGCTCTGGGTTCAAAAACAGGCTCAGCTGGGTGTGGTGGCACAGGCCTTTAATCTCAGCACTCAGGATGTAGAAGCAGGCATATCTCTTGAGTTAAAAGCCAGCCAGTTCATAGTGAGACCCTGTCTTAGACAACAACAAAATAACTAAAGTAAGACAATAAACAAAACCCCCCCCCAAAGACTGCCTGTTGTGTCTTCCATAGTCTGTCGTCACTGAGCTCAGTTTTGTTCAGTTTTTTTATTACATTCTTTGTGTGGATGCCACGGTGCACAAGTGTTGGTCAGAAGACAGCTTGTAGAGGTTAAGGTTACCATATCGGTTCTAGGGATCAAATTCAGGTCATCAGGTTTGGTGGCAGATGTCTTTAATCTGCCTCTGTCATGTCTTCTAATGCATACTTGGTAGCACTGTCCCCTGATCCTCTACCCACTGTAAACCTGGGCAGTCCAGTTGTCCTCTTTGTGCTTTGCTGAGGGATCTTAGTCACTTCCTTAATTTTCATGGACTTCTCTGGGTTGGCACTGCCTATCCTCACATCAGGCCTTTTCTCCTTAATTTATTGCCGTGGCTGAAAGACATCACTAAATGGTCTACCTCAGACTCAAGGTAGCCAACATTGAACTTGTCTTCCCTTAAAACTTGTCCTGAGGGGCTAAGAGGGATGATTTCATGGTTAAGAGCACATATGTTTCTTGTAGAAGACTAGAGTTTAGTTCTTAGCAGCCACACCAGCAGGCTCAATCACCTGTAATTCCAGCTCCAGACTGGCTTCTGTGGACACTGCATTCATATGCACAAACCCCAACAGATACATACACATAATTAAAATATTTTTTAAAAACTTGAAAGCCTCTTCTGAGTTCCTCTCTGCCTCTTATTTCCAGAGGTACCATTGTTCTGATATCCAGGCCAGAGATCTTGGAAACCGGTTTTTGTTCCTCAGCCAAGACCTTGTGACCCCCCAGCCCTTTGCAAGCTCTTACTAACCATGCCTTCCTCTCCCATTGATGTCAAGGTCATCTTGATAACGATAGCCATCCGTTGGCTGTTTGCTTCTCCTAGCTTCTGCTCACTATTCTGAAAACTTCATTAACTCTTGGCTTCTCTGTGCAGGACCCTTGAATATCTGTGAGGAAATGACTATTCTGCATGGGGGCTTCTTGATGGCTGAGCAGCTGTTCCATCCCAAAGCTCTGGTACAGTTAACAAAGTCTGATTGGGAACACGTGGGACAGCCCATTGTGGAGGCCTTGAAGGAGATCTCCTCAGCCACCGCACATTCTCAGCCATTTGCCTGGAAGAAGAAAGCACTGATCATCATCTGGGCCAAGGTTCTTCAGCCCTCCCCTGTCAGCCCTTCTGACACTGATACTCGGTGGCAGGAAGATGTGTTCTTCTCCGTGGGCAACATGATCCCTACCATCAACCACACAGTCCTTTTTGAGCTGCTCAAGTCTCTGGAAGCTTCTGGACTCTTCATTCAGCTCCTAATGGCCCTGCCTACCACCATTGGACGCTCAGAACTACAGAGCTTTCTGGAGCACTTGACTATTGATACTTCTTCCAAGGATGTGGCCTTCTTCCTAGATGTCTGGTGGGAAATGATGAAGCACAAGGGTGACCAGCAGGACCCCTTGCTTTCCCAGTTCAGGACGATGGCCCATAAATACTTACCATCCTCAGACGAGTTTTCCCATCCTCCAAAGAGGTTTAAGTCTGACCCAGATGTAGGTCCCATCATGCCACTTTTGGCCATGCTGCTTAACGGGCTGAAGCAGATCCAAAAGAGAATCCTGTCCCTTGGAATGAAGTGCTGTGCATTAGCTAACTTGGCTGACATGCTGAGTGTGTTTGCACTGATGGAGGATGACACCCAGGAGGTGTCTGCCACTGTGTACCTAGACAAACTCGCTACAGTGATCTCTGTGTGGAATTCGGACACCCAGAACCCATACCATCAACAGGCCCTGGCAGACAAGGTAAAGGAGGCAGAGCGAGATGTGAGTCTCACCTCACTGGCCAAACTCCCCAGTGAGACTGTTTTCATGGGGTTTGAGCTTATGTACAACCTGCTGCAGGAGTGGGGTGCAGAGCTGCAGGGCATGCTCAACAGCAGTCAGGGAACAAATTATGACACATACCGGCTGTGTGACAGTCTGACTTCCTTCAGCCAGAACTTGGAGCTCTACCTGGATACTACCAACATGCCTAAGGAAGAGAGGGAGGTGGTCTCGGAATTGGCTGAGTGTGTCAGGGACTTCCTGAGGAAAACCAGCAGAATGCTGAATGACAAGGGCCTTGAGGACATCACTGCCTCCATTGCCATGGCCATCATTGAACAGAAGATGGACCGGCACATGGAAATGTGCTACATTTTTGCTTCTGAGAAGAAGTGGGCCTTTTCAGATGAGTGGGTTGCCTGCCTGGTTAACAACAGGTCTCTCTTCAGAGAACCAGACTTGGTCTTGAGTCTGCTGGAAACAGTGATTGAAGTCATCAACTCTAATAAGGTTATCCCCCAGACTCAGATCAAGCAGGTAATCTGCTTGACCCTGCAATGCTATGAAGACCTCTCTCTTCCAGACAAAAATAAAGTTCTTTCTGGTATCCTGCATTATTTGGGGCCAAAGGGCCTCTCAGACAGGTTGTCTGATTACTTGGAGGGTTTCCAGGAAGACCTCAATACAACATTTAACCAGCTTGCACAGAGTACCTCTGAACAGGGCCTGTCTAAAGCTGTGGCCTCTGTGGCCCACCTGGTTATCCTGAACCCAGAAGTTGTGGTGAAGAAGATGTGTAGCCTAGCTGTGACCAATCTTGGTACACATAGGTTCCTGGCTCAGATTCTCACTGCCTTCCCTGCCCTGAAGTTCACAGAAGAACAAGGGCCAAATCTATATACTAGTTTCATGGTGTCCTGCCTCAAAGAAACTGTCTGGACCAAGTTCTCTACACCCAAAGAAGAGAAACAGTTTCTGGAGCTGGTAAGCTGCCTGATGAATCCTGTGAAACCACAGGGGATTCCAATTGCTGCTCTTCTGGAGCCAGATGAGGTGCTGAAGGAGTTTGTCCTACCTTTCTTGATGCTAGACATGGAGGAAGTAGGCCTGAGTCTGAAGCTCTTCATCCAGACCCTTGAAGCCAATGCAGGCTTGGAAGAGTATTGGCTGCAGACCTGCTCCCCATTCCCCCTGCTCTTCAGCTTGTGCCAGCTCCTGGACAGCTTTAGCAAGTTCTGGCAGCTCCCACGGGAGAAGCGCTTCCTCACTCTGGACAGCAAGGATCTTGTGACCCACATTCTAGAGCTCCTCTGTGAGATTGTGCTAGCCAACACAGAAACCTTCTCCCCAGACACCTGGGCCAAGTCTCTGTCCTGGCTCCACCGCAAATTAGACCAGCTAGATTGGACTGTGGGCCTGAGACTGAAGAATTTCTTTGAAGGCCACTTCAAGTGTGAGGTGCCAGCTACCCTTTTTGAGATCTGTAAGCTTTCTGAGGCCCAGTGGACCTCACAAGCCCACGAAGGTTATGGGCCTGGCACGGGGCTTCTCGCCTGGATGGAATGCTGTTCAATCTCCAGCTGTATCTCTGAACAGATGCTTTCCCTCCTGGTGGTAGATGTGGGCAATCCTGAGGAGGTCAGATTGTTTAGCAAGGGCTTTCTGGTGGCCCTTGTACAAGTCATGCCTTGGTGTAGCCCCCAGGAATGGCAGTATCTTCAGCAGCTGACCAGGAAGCTATTGGAGAAACAGCTTCTTCATGTCCCTTACAGTCTAGAGTATATCCAGTTTGTTCCCCTGCTCAACCTGAGGCCTTTTGCCCAGGAACTTCAACTCTCTGTTCTTTCGTTGAGAGCTTTCCAGTTTCTTTGCAGTCAGAGCTGTTGTAACTGGCTTCCTTTGGACGGTTGGAGCCATGTAGTCAAACTCCTCTGTAGTAGTCTGACCAGTGTCCTGGATGCAGTCAGGTTGATACAGTCAGTGGGTCCCTGGGCCCAGGGACAAGAAGGAGATCTTACTCAGGAAACCTTGTTTGTCTATACCCAGATGTTCTGTCATGTTCTGCATATCATGGCCATGCTCCCGCAGGAGGTCTGTGAACCCCTCTACGTGCTGGCCTTGGAAATCCTTACCTGCTATGAGACCCTAAGCAAAACCAACCCTTCTGTCAGCTCCTTGCTCCAGAAGGTAGATGAGCAGCGCTTCTTAAAGTCTATTGCCAAGAACATTAGCCCTGAGGAGCGGCGCCAAACCCTGCTACAAAAGATCAACAACCTCTGACCCGTGGAGGGCAGAACAAAGCTATGCATCCAACACGGTGTTTCTGCAGGGCCCAGAGCTAAGAACAAACCTTGTTATGAGAATGGACACAGGGAAAGGAATACAAGAGCAGTGTAAAGAAATAGTTTCTTAGGTATTTGTCACATACTACTTGAATAAAAATTTTTTTTGGTTTAATCTTGTCTTGAGCCTTTCTCAGAAGTTTGGGCTTAAATATGCTCCAAAGTTAGGTTTAGGTAGTCTTTAGGATCAAGTCAAGCCAGTAGGACAGGTGTGGGAGTGCACTCCTGTAGCATCAGCCTTCAGGAGGCTCAGGCAGAGGGTGGCAACCTAGACTACATAGGAATATCTAAAAGTTTTAAAAAAAGCCCAGCTGGGGAGGAACATGTTTGTAACTGAAATTCTCCACCTAGATTTGGCAGTAAGCCCAAAGGTGGAGCTACCTAGTAGGGGAAAAAAAATAGAAGGTTATATATTCTTTTTAGTTAGGCCCTCTTTGAGTCTTTTCAACTAGGCCTGGTAGTGGTACCTACTTATAATCCCAGCATTCAGGTAGCTGAAGTAGAAGGTTCAGTTCAAGACCAGCCTGGGCTACTAGCAAGCATTTTCGTATTTGATCTTTTTTCCAAGGTTATCTCAAAAAGGGCAGATGTGGAAAGGGGCACATTCAGCACTGGTTGTGACTTGTGTGCCAAAGAGGCCTGCCCCTTTGTCAGAGGACTGAACCAAGAAATGTTGGATGTTAAGGGGATAGTAACCATCCACTCAGCACACCCAGGAGAGGTGCTAAGCCAGGGCTGGTGAACAGCTGGTGCCCTTGGAGGGTGGGTATAATTACCTTCTTCCTGGGGTGAGATTGTTTTGGTTTTGATGAATGAGTGGCATAGGCAACAATGTACAGAAGCATAAAAACGAAAGCATAAGGTTTCTAGGGTAACATTACACAACTCTTAGAACTGGTTAGGGAGGTATCATTTAAGGAGATGAGAGAAAAGGTCCCATCACGTACTTATCCACACCCTCATCTAAAATGGTTTACTATTCAGGTACTCTTCTCCCACCTAATGTAAACTATTCTGTGGTCAACAGGCAGGCTTCTACCCTCCCAACTCCTAATTGGGATCCACCAGAGGAAGAGAAACTTGAAGTTACACGTGAACACTGAGCTTGAATTCTGGGCACCTTCCGTGTAGTGTATCCTTTGGTACCTTGAACCAACATGTTGGATGAAGGTATGAGTAAGACCTGCCTGGAGGCCATTCGCCTTCCGTAACCAGACTAGGAATTACCGAACACAGCACTTAGGCTGGGTCTCTGATGTTTGGGGAAGTCAGCACCAGTGCACGTAACAAATATAGAATTTAGTGCAATTTAATTACCATATGGATCACTTGTGTATACAGTAAACAGAACAAAAGACACAAAACAGCATTTTTAAATGGTTTTTAAATGGCACCTATTAAAGACTGAAACTCAAAAATCGAGACACAACCATCCGGTCCTTTAGAAGTCCACAGACAGTGAATTATAAGGCACTGTAGTGTTTTTGCTGCCACCTGAAGTGGCAGTAGGTCCTCTCAGACCCAATCTGTGGTGGAGGATGATCAGTGCTACACCACATCCTACTGCACACAGCTAATGGCATTGGTCCACAGGACATGCTCTGGCTGGTCTGCCTTCCCCCCTGTTCTCTAGCTTTCTGTGGCTAAATGGCTGCGCATTCAACACAGAAATGGGTCTTAGCAGGAAGCACTAGAAGCACTGGCCTATAAGACACCTCAAAAGCTGGAGAGCAGACATCTGTATCCATTTTGTATGAAAGGGCAGTGTCAGTGTGGGATTACCCAGTAAGCTACTATAGAAGCCATCACTTCACCTTATCCCTGGAGTTTCAGGCCAGCTTTTGGTGTGTGTGGTGGATACAGAGAAAACTGGTCATGAGAGGCTGTGCTAAAAAGGAAATAGTGTAGGTAACTGCTTGCAACAAGCTCACAAGTTAGTGTATAAAGATAGTGGTCTTTATACAAAGTCGGTCTGCAAAGATGCTGGCCTCTGCTGGCCACCTGACCTGCTCAAGTGCTTCAGGTTCTCAGCCCTGCCCATTGCCAGTGAGTCCTTCTGACTAGACATCAGCAAGCAAGAGATCCACAGATGAGGACAAGGGCTGTCTAGTAAACAGTAAAAGACACACCCACAATACCTTTCCTAGTATTGGAAAATGACACTATTTGAAGAACCAAGTTGTCACTTGCTTCTGGCCCAGTTCGGGTGTTGCCCTGAGTGGGTGGGAAGGGGGAGAGCAGTGCTTCACCTCCCAGAACTCTTGTCACAAGCCCAAGGAAGGCTCCTTAGGTTTGCATTAAAACTACTGCAGTTGAGGTTTGACAGGATCCAAGTTATCACCAGAAAACAAAACAAAAGTGCTTTTGCAAAAGGCTGGTTAGAAGGGGGAGGTAATGGGGATTTTAAAAAAGAAAACCATGAATCCAGAGGCTTATCAACACCCAGAAGGCAGAGACTACCCCAGGCATGAGTTGGTCCTTGGAATACTGAGTAGACGAGGCAGCTAGTGTGAGTGCCTGACCCCTGAGAGTAATTAACCATCCTTTTTGGCTTTGGCAGTGTCAAAGAGCCGGGCTGCCTTCTTGCACAGCAGTGAGAACCAGTAGAGCTGGGGAGAGATGAGGATGGCATTGGCCACATTGCAGTGTAAGGGGATATTAAATGGCACTTGGAGCACGCTTAGTCCTTTTTGTTGTCCATAGGACCAGTACATGAATGGGAAAAGGAGAATCCGGCAGAACAGAAAGGTGGTCACCGTGAGGATCCCATTGACCTTGTAAAGAAGCGTATGCTGCTGCTTTAGCTGTAAGAGAAAGGGAAGGATAAGGCAAGGTCACCAAAAGGATGGGTTATTGGAGTATGGAGCCCAGCCTTACAACAGTTAAGCACGTTCTTGTACAAGTCAAGACCTACAGTGCTAAATTGCTGGGCACCTGGACACACACACAAAAGCATGTTTACATGCATGTACTTATGGAGGCCAGAAGATGGTAGGTTGCCTTCATCTCACTCTCTTATGACAGGGTCTCACTGAACCCAGAGCTCACGCTTTTAGCTAGGTTGCACACTCTGCCATGCCTAGCCGGCACTTGCTTGTGGCTCAGTATTATGGCTGTTGCCCTGAATAGGTACTTGTGCAGCAAGCTGTCTTGCCCACTGAGCTATCTCCTCAGTCATAATATATAACCTCATAATTTTACCAAAAGTGACTTAAGCCACCCCCCCTTATAGATGTATAAGAATGACTGATTAAATTGTGGCCAAATAATACAATGTGGTGTGTGTGTGTGCACGTGTATGTGTGTGTGTGTGCGTGTGTTGTGTGTGTAACCTGGGTCAGATCAAAGTCTTATGGTTTGGATGATGAAGTAATATATCAAAGGGTCTCCTTACTCAGCACTGTGATCTCTCCAAACCCCAATCTGTTTCCTCCTTCATTACCTCTGCTGTTTCACCCATATACACACCTGGATCAGAATTCTGCCCAGCGACACAAACGGAGTACTCAGTTCTGCTGTGAAGATGCATCCGACAAAGAAGTCTCCAAGTTCTCCTCGGAGCTTCTGCAGAGAGAAGAAACGAGGATGTGGAGGGTAAAGAAGCTACTGGAAGGAATATCTAGGTCGATAGGGAAAAGATAACCATGAGAAAAATATTAACAGGCAAATGGCTATCCAGTTATATCCCATTGCTTCCCTGGCAATCACTTCTTGGGGAGGATCCAAAGGCAAGTGTAGATAGGCTACAGCAGGCTTCCTCTGATTTTAGAGACAATAGGGAGGAGCTCTAGCCTGCTTCTGTATGTCAAAGACAAGACTCTGGGCCTGTTCAACTCAAAGTCTGCTAGAAGGCTAAGTCCTTACTGAATAGCAGTCTAGCTGCTGGAACACCTGCTCAGTAACAGGGATAAGAAAACTAGCCGATAAAGGCAATGGCCTATAAGCCTGATGACCTAAGTTTGACCCACCTATAGGACCCATGCGATGGAAGGAAAGAACTGACTCTTGCAAGTTGTCCCTTGACCTCCACATTTGTCTCCATACATATACAAAGTAAATAAGAAAATAATAGAATGCTGGAATACATGCTTTAATCTCAACACTCAGAGACAGGAAGATTGCCATATGAGACTAGACAGGGTTTATATAGTGAGACTCTGTCTTAGAAAATAAACAAATTGGGCTGGAAAGATGGCTCTGTGGTTAAGAACACTTGCTACTCGTCCAGGGAACCAGAGTTTGATTCCCAGCACCTCTGTCAAACAGTTCAGAACTATCTGCATCTCTAGCTCCAAGAGATCTGATGCTACTTCTGGCCTCCACAGGTACTTGCATATCCACACAAATAGATAATCGCTAAAATAAACAATGTTGAGCCAGGTGGTGGTGGTATATACCTTTAATTCAAGCACTGAGGAGGCAGAGGCAGGCATATCTCTGAGTTTGAGGCTAGCCTGGTCTGATCTATAGAGTGCCAGAACAGCCAGGGGTACACGAGAAATCATGTCTTGAAAAACCAGAAAAGGGCTGGAGAGATGGGTCAGTAGTTAAGAGTACTGACTGCTCTTCCAGAGATCCTGAGTTCAATTCCCAGCAACCAAATGGTGGCTCACAACCATCTGCAATGGGATCCAATGCCCTCTTCTGGTGTGTCTGAAGATAGCTGCAGTGTATTCACATACTTAAAAATAAATAAATAGGGCTGGGCAGTGGTGGCGCACGCCTTTAATCCCAGCACTCGGGAGGCAGAGACAGGTGGATTTCTGAGTTCGAGGCCAGCCTGGTCTACAGAGTGAGTTCCAGGACAGCCAGGGCTACACAGAGAAACCCTGTCTTGAAAAAACCAAAAAATAAAAAAAATTTAAAAATGAAAATAATAAATAAATAAATAAATTTTAAAAAAGAAAAAACAGGGGAAAAAGAGGAAAAAAATGTTTAAGCTTATTGGTGGTGGAGGCCTATAATTCTAGCTTCTTGGGAAGCTGAGGCAGGACTATATGTTCAAGGCCAACCAACTCAGACTATTTAAAAAAGTAGAGAGAGCTGGGGATACAGATGTGTGATAGACTGCTTTCCTAGCACTGGGGAGGTGCTAGCTTAATTCCTGGTACTGGAAAAAATAAAAAACAGGACTGGAAATAAAGGTCAGTGGTCATGAGCAATGGCTATTTTTCCAGACAACCCAGGTTTAATTCCCAGCACCCATGTGGTAGCTCAAACCATTAGTAACTCCAGTTCCAGGGAATCCAACACTCTTGACCTCTGCAAAAGCCTCCAGGTAAGCAAGTAGTACACAGACATACAGGCAGGCAAAACACCCATACACATAAAACAAAAACAAATCTTTTAAAAAGTAAGTGTTGGCTAGAAGCCACTGACATTTCAGGCAACATGGTTTCCCCCACTACTTGCATGGGAGAACAAATTCAAGGAAGCAGTTAGCTAAAGGAGGGTGCACGTAGAACAAGAAAGAGTGCTCTCCAACTCCTAAGAAATGGTCAAGGCATGGTCCAATGGCAGAGTGGTTATGGCTGCTGTCCTGCGAGACCATACCTGTGAAATAGGTACAAGGAAAAGCAGAATGACCGCATGATGTGTGACCATAAGGCGGTTTTCAACCAGGAAGTTTCGGATAATGGTGGTGCGTCTGAGTTTCTGGTCTTTGGTTCGGCACCATTCGCAGAGGTACATGGCATAGAAGTCATACATCATATATGGAATCAAAAACCAGACATATTCTGTAGCAAGCCAGTGCCTAAAAGAAAGCACAGAGACAGACTCTAAAATAACTACGGAAGTCAATGAAGCACAAAGCCAATCTCTTCACTAGTTCCCTTTGGTTCTATCTTCAATGAGCTACTGTCACTTTGAACACTTCAGACTGAAGAGGGTGATACTGCTAAGGAGAGTGTCTCTAAATCATAAAGCAAATTCGTGAGGGCCAAGGTTGAGAAGCAGGAATTCACTCTGCCTGTATATATAGGTAGTTTGTTGTAACTATTTGCTTGGTTCAACTACTAATCTACAGTAGACTTCGAGCATTTTGATAGAAACTGACTTTGATGGAGATAAGTTTTCAAATGATTCAGCAGCTCCACCAAGGAACTGGTTTGGAAGGTGTTCTAAATCACAAGCCCAACCTTTCCAGTTTAACTCCTAAGTTGCTCAACAGTTGGGAGTTTCTGAGACCTACTGGATCTACACATTCTTTTTCTTGCTTCTCCATGCCCCATTGTAGACAGTTTGCAGGAAGCAGTCTTGGCCATGTTATTTTCAAATCTATAGTTAATCCTGGGTTCCATTCATTCATAAAAATAGATAGTCCAGTGGGTTAAGATGCTTGTCACTATGCTTGGTAGCCCCTCAGTTCAATCCCCCAGGACCCCATGGTAGAAGCAGAAAATCAGTTCCTGCTAGTTGTCTGTCTTCCACAAACACAGTATGGCATGCATGCAAACACATAATGAATAATTTCAAGTTTTTAAAAAGTATTTAGAAGTTCACCTGGATCTCAAGGACCACATCATAGCAACTAAATGCCAAGAGAAGCTGGGACAAAAGATGTCCATTTCCTGGCCTGATTCTGGGCACATATCTGTTCCTATTAAGTTGCCC